GCTCTTTTACTAAAGCCCAAATGGGTTATTAGTATGAGAAGAGCCCAAGGAACCTAGAGCCCAATGAGCTAGGGTTTCTTGGAACCCATATAAATAGTACCTCTTAAGTCATCAGCCTCTAAGGTCTTCTTTGTGAGAAAGAGGCAAGCTCTGAATCTAATCAGTGCCCACACACTTCCCCTTCCTCCTCGAGAGATAGTTTGGAAGATCTGCCACAGTCCAGCTTCAAGGAGGTTGTTCGTGCTGCGGCGCTGAGGTGAGCTGTTCGTGAAGAGGAATCCTACAAGGGAAGATTCTACACGAGACCTGCGCACGAGAGGTAATTGTGAAACAATGATGATTCAGTAAGCATACCAATGTACTAGGTCCTAAACCGCTTCCGCATAAATCTAAGATTTCCTACATGTAGATGATATGTAGAGGTGCCTTAAGTGATGGTAACGAAGAAGTTAGTTCTTTCTGTTATCAATATTTAACTCCCTGAACCCTATTAGGCTTCATAAGGGGGGGATTGTCCTTTATCTTTCAATATGAAAGTTAGACTAGCAACTGAAGTTTTCATAATTCAATGTCTCCTATTAATCAGGTACTATGGAAACCATGGAGAGTACTGTTACATATGGCTCACTGGCATATACAGCTAGTGTTATGGTTGTGTTCTCTGTTTGAAATCTATGAGTCTTTTTTGTAAACTTTAGCTTAATTGCCTAAAGGAGAAGTTCACAAAGAAGATGGTGTTACTTGGAGTTTTAGAGCGAGATTAAAGGCTTTAAAGTAAGGGTTTGTTTTTTCTAAAGTTACTTTAGATAACTTTATCTAATGTTCATCAAAACGACGTCTTTTTGGGATGGAAATCATGGTATTTTTATAATTTTAATTTATTTCAGGGTTATAATAGTCTTTATCATTCTAATTTTTTATTTTTTCAATCCCAAAACAACGTCGTTTCGATGAACATTAGATAAAGTTATCTAAAGTAACATCGGAAACTTTTTTCCCTTAAATAAACTGCTCATAAATATGCTCATAGATTGTGTGATCACAGCAGAGAGCAGCAGTGTATTCTCTTATATGTATATGAGATCTTTTAATCATCCTCACAAGATATAGTTTGGCTAATTTTCCCTATATGAACATCTTTACTTGCCTCTTTCAAGTTTCAACATCCTCACACAGGCTGTATGGATATGATACTCAAGATCCTTAAATAATTATATACTGTACTCAAATTGTTACTGAAACTTATGGACTGATGGCTAACTAGTTGCGTTACTCGAAGGCTAACGTTAAACGAATTTTCCTTTGCTCTTTTACTTCCCTTCCTTCCTTGTGCGGGATGTTTGGTATGACTCATACTTACTTCGCATGCTGATGAGTACTTTTGTTGTTGGGGTCAGCAGAAAGACAACTGGGTCCCGCTCCCCCAGGCCCATAGAGGCTAGATACTGTTATGAGCCTCTGATTTATTGTAAATTTTCCTTTTTTAGTAGTTTGGGCTTGGGTCCATGAATAACTGCTGTTAAGGTTTTTTCTTATCATGTTTATATTCTCATTGTAAATCGAGTGACTTGTAACGAGTGGCAGTGAGGTGAATATAGTACAGACAAGCTGGACGTCGTAGCCTAAATTTGATAAACCAGGGTAAATTACTGTGTCTACTTTTTCTCTCTATCTCTCTCCTTTTTCGTTTGTGATTTGTGTGATTGTCAATTTCCAACAATGGATTCTAGTATGTTCATAAGCGCTTGTATTGTTCTTGAGTCTGTGTTTGATATGAGAAAGTTTTGGTTCTATTAGAAGGTAGTTATGTTTGAACCTATTGAGGCTTTGGAATTATTATCCATTGATGGCACACACCAACCTTTGTTTGTAATTATGATATTTAAACTGGCTTTTTCATCATTTTGCTCCTTATTAATTAATTAATAACAATTTTGCCCCTGATTCGAAACTATTTATCAATTTGCCCCTCTTTAGTCGACTACCTTGAATTTTTAATCGACTAAATGGCCAAAACAGACCAAAAATGGTTGCTGGGAGATTTAGTCGACTAAATCTCCCTATTTAGTCGACTAAATCTTCATATTTGACAAAAAAAAAATAAGTCAGTATGATTTTAATCGATTAAGTAGGGAGATTTAGTCGAATAAATCTCTCAACAACTGTTTAGTCGATTAAAAATGCAAGGTAGTCGACTAAAGAGGGGCAGATTGATAAATGTTTCGAATCAGGGGCAAAATGGTTATTAATTAATTAATAAGGGGCGAAAAGGTGAAAAAGCCTATTTAAACTATATGAGTTCATTTTTTCTGCAGTAAATATAAATAAGTTATTTATATTGAGCCTAAAATGATATTGTTTTGGAACGGAAATCAAGATATTTTTATAATTATAATTTATTTCAGGGTTATAATAGTCTTTGTCATTATAATTTTTTAATCTTTCAATACAAAACGACGTCGTTTTGAGAGTGAACGTAAATAATTTATCTACTGTAGAGCCTTAGACTATCTTCCTGATACTAAATGAAGAAAAATACATTACATTAACAGATTTAAGATGAAGGATGCTGCTTCTCATCTGGACGTTCTGAATCCACAACAATCTCATATGCAATGTAGTGTGCTATGCAGAGTTTTAGACCTGCAAGCGCTTATTCTTACGAATAATGTGACAAAAATAAGATTGAGACACAAACCATTAGATTTTTGGAAGTTTTTTTTTTAAAATATATTTCCTGTATGGATTTTAATTATAAGTTATTTCAACAACAAATAAGTTAATTAAAATACGTAATTTAAACACAATAATTTAATTTGAACATGGGGGTTGAGTTGTTGTGAAGTTGGACTAGATCTATATCCTTCAAGGGATAAAGTATGTTATTATCCGAGTGTTCAAAATAATAATGGCATAAATCAAATGAGTTGGCACCAGAGAACTGAGTTGATGAGGTGAGAACATGTATTCGATCCTTTTCAGTATTGTTTGGGGGTTTAAAACCTTAATCCCGAGACCCGCCTCGAATCGAACTAGTTGCAAAATAATAAACCAATTGAAATATCTACAAAAAAGGAAAAGAAAAAAAGTAGTAATGGTATAAATCAAAATTCAAGGAGAGATATTGTACTATTTCAAATATGACTGAGAAAGAGAGAAGAGTGAGGGCACCGTGACTCTAGAATTTGACAGAATAATAATTTATAAAAGATATCTCCTCAGGTGAAGAGGAGATGTATATATAAGTGAAAAATAATTATTAGGTGGCAAAGTGGGTCGACTCGTCCCAACCTGTCATCAACTCGTCAAAATTGAGGCGGGACGGGTTGACATGCCTCTTGAATGTGGGTTAAAATTATCAACCCAACCCATATCGTATAGTGAATTGACGAATCAACCCATTTAAAAATAAAAATAATTAAAATTTAAAATAAATTATATTTTATAAATTTTATAATATTATTTAATTTCATTTCACATTTCCCATAATTTTTATTCCAATCTCAAGCTTATATTCTTTAGGATTAATTTTTACTTTTATATATGGATAACCTTTATCATAAATAAAATTTTTCTTCTTTATTTTTTTTATAACAGAGTACTAAGATAAAAAAAAATTAAATATTACAAATTGACATACAACGGTGCTTGTTCCAAAAATTATAGATAAATCTACGTGGTTGAATTTGAATTTGAGGGGAAACAATATACTATAGTATTTTATGCGCAACTTATAAAACAAAAAAAAAAGTGCAAGTTACGCATTATAAAGCTTTAATTTGAAAACATTTTTACATTTTTTATTTATTTATAAAAATCAAGTGTGCAAACAGTCTATATATTATGGTACCAATATAATAATGGAATTACTGATATTTACACATCTTATACCCTAACCTAATAGCTAACGTTGCTTGCACCAATATTTTATAGAGAAGAGTTATTTTATAAAATTTTCTATAAATTCTTATAAATTATATTATGTATTACGAGTAGCAGTATTTAAAAACCTGGCCCGACCATCGACTCGGCCGAGGTCATGGGTCACGGGTTCAACCGGGGGTCATGGAGTCACTATGCTGACTCGGTTTTATATATTAAAAAAATATAAATATATATATCTTATATGAAAATATTAAAAAAAAAATCACCAATCATCAAAAATTCAAAATATACTTAACATAATTCACCAATTACAACCACAAGTCAATACTACACAATCTAATTAAAGTATCAAGATACCAAAGTACAAAACTCATATTCTAATGGAGTTAATGAAAAGTAACATAATCAAAGTCAGGCTCACCAAGATACCATTTAGGTTTGCAAGTATTTTTATTTTTTATTTTTTTAATAAAACAAAGTTGTTTCATTTAATTTTCTTTGAAAAAAAAAAAGCAGTGGCCCTCTTTGACTCCTCTGACCCGGGAGTCCCTAAAATCCTGCCAGGTTTTGGGGGTCGGAGGGATCGATATGCATATAGGGTCCAACTTGTGACCCTTACCCTCATAGGGGAGGGGTCAGGGTTGACTCGGGTCAACCCGATGAGCGGGATGAGATTTTAAAACACTGACGAGTAGTACATATTAGTTGAGCATGTATTATTCATAATACATCGTATAATTTATAAATAAAAAGTTTATAAATATAACTTATTTCTAATTTATAATATATATGATTTTTTAAATTTTATTTTGTTGATATTTCATATATAAGAGTATCTTTTATTTATTTATTCTTCAGATACTTTATCTCTTTTTGTAGAAGTTGAGAATAATAGCAATTGCCACGTGGGGATTACGCATCTCTCTGACATGAAAAATCTAAGCGGTGTTTGTGATCCACCAGTTCCACATCAGTGATGATGCGTAAACGTTAAACTAAAATTGTTGTGGTGGCTTAGTCCAAGTGTTCCATTCTCAGACACATCAGACATACATATATCTCATATTCTTAGCTGATCCGAATCCTTTTCTACGACACTTAACGTTTTCTGCAAAAGTTTCAATCTTTTCCCTATCGTTTCTACGTTACGTGTGCTCTTATCAACCTCTATTTTTTGAGGCAGCGAGGGACAGGACACTCGAAAGCTCAATTTTATTTTATTTTTTTGTTTATTTCTCTCAAGAAAGTTCAAATTCTATCTGGGTGTCTCTAAGCGGAACAAGCAAACGCAAATGAGCTTCCGCGAGTTGGGTTTTGTTGCTTCATGAGCACTACTACCACTATGTTGGATTCTTTAACCTATTGCCAAAGCTTTAAGGTAACATCTCTCCTGGTTTCGTTTGTTATCATTGTTGGGTTGGTTTTTGGTTTTGCGAGGTTTGAGTAATGCAGATATTGGTTTTGTAGATTATGTTATTTGAGTAATGCACACATCAGCTGCAAGAGTTTTTCTTTTCCCTTCAAGAAATTGAAGAAAAAAATGGGAAATTGACATTCTTATATAAAATCATTAATGTAGTATCACTCAATAGCTTAAATTTTTGAGTTGAATTGGTTAGTATCAGAGCTCACTGTCCCCCACTTTCTTTTAAGTATAATTATTTCTTTGATCCCACGGATAGGTGGGCCTGTGCATTGTCCACCCTCCAAGCCCAGTAAGCTCTCGTGTGTGAGGGGGTGTGTTGAGATATATAAAATCATTAATTTGGGTTGAATTGGTTCTTTACTGTGTTTAAACTTTGAAATTGTTTTTTAATGTAGTGCATATTAGAATTATATTGATGGAGTTGCGTAATCTAATCCATATTCATATAGTTGTTGCTTGTTCTATAATTTGCTTTGCATTTTGTAACATTATTTTTGTTGCAGGGATATGACCTTACCAAACAAAAGAGTCCGGGTTACTCTCATGCTATTTCACGATTCTGTAGAAGTTCTATTTTGATGCTTTATTCAGTTAACAAGCAAGTGCCGCTACTGTCACGTGGTGTTAGTCACGGGATATTTCATGGGACTTCTGTGTCAGAAAATTTCATTAAAAGGAGACATCTCAATGTTCCATCATTTTCTGGTTGGAAAGGATTCTATTTCTCTAAGTGTAGGCCATTACGTTGGGAACGGTTACAGACTAATGTAGCATATGATGTTGCTGGTGCTGTTGATGTCATCAATGATTTGGGATTGGATACTCTTACTTTCTTGGCTGTGACTGTCTTAATTGTGCCCACATTCAAGTCAATTAAAGCCAGTCCTGTAAGAAGTTCTTGGTGTTTTACTTTTCTTTTTTTTTTTCTAAAAAAAATAAATATAAAATTTATGCTCTTGAAATTAGGATAATCTCATATTACAAATCATCATAATCGTTATGACATAATGCTCTGCATTAATTTGGTTAAATTCCTGTATTAGTTTAACTACTTTAAATGGACTAAGGCATTCTTTGTAAATGATACAAACTGTTGTTGTAAATAGTGTTACCACATTATTTACATGTCTTTGTGTCTCTCATTTGCTTTGATACCATGTTAAATATCAAGACACAAGAGGTATTGATTGTAATCCTAAGAGAACTTTTTCTCTAACGAAATGACAGTCTATCTCAAATGATCAATTAACTGATGTATTCACTAAGTCTTTGAGAGGACCTAGGATAGATGATATATGTAACAAGCTTGGTTCACATGATCTATATGCTCCAGTTTGAGGGGAAGTGTTGTAGAGGTCCCACATTGTGTACATGTCTTTGTATCTCTCATTTGGTTTGATATATAAATGGAACCTCCTTTGTGTAGTTGACACAAGGATTACAATCAATACCTTTTGTGTCTTGATATTTAACACAAACAAAGGCATCAAGAGAGAGAAAGATGCGCAACTTAAGTTTTGATGATAATTTGAATAGCTGTAGATAGGAGATACTCCGTTTAATAGCAAACTCTATATCTAATGTTATTTTCTTTTACTTATACACCAACATAACTACTAGAAGTGTTATGCTTCAATGTATTTTTTACCAACATTGCTCTGGAGTTTGTGAATCAATTCCCATCAGTTATCAGTATTATATTCGTTGTCATCACTGTACTTAACAAATTTTGAAGTGAGCTTTACCATTCTATGAAGTTGAGATTATAGTTCTATGTATTGAAAAAGTCTAGATTTTTAGTTTATTGAAATTTGAAATTAATGATTTGTAGTGAAGACATGAGTTTGTTATTTTTATTCTGAATTGTAGAAAAAAATTATATCTAAAGCTACTTAATATTTATTAACATGCATGTTGAATCTCACACACATAATTGTGGAATTAGATTCGGTTTTATCCATTTACTTTCATATGTTTATAATTGAAATAAATTCAATGGTTGTCATTTTCAGATACTTGGTTTCTTCTTTGCTGGGGTGGTGCTCAATCAGTTTGGTTTAATTAGAAACCTTACAGATGTTAAAATTTTGTCTGAATGGGGGATCCTTTTCTTGGTAAGATGAATCTCAGTAAAGGTGCATTTGCTGCTACTCTTGTTATTGCTTTTTTTCTCTTTTGTTTGTCATCCTCAAATGGAGCATTGAAACTGTCATACATCCAACATATTCTAGCATGTTATTACTATAGTTCTTATAAGCTAATAGTTCACATTAAAATCAATATCCAGTGCCGGTCATTTACTGTTCTGTGTTTTCATGAGTATATAAAGAGAGTTTAGAAGGACTCTATAGTCAGGTGTTTATTGATTAACTTTCACCAGGTGCCGACGGAGTGCATGAAGAATGTTGTAGTGTGGTTTGTATATCCCTTAATAAAAGAAGATATCTCAACTGAGTTTTTCTTTCTGGGACTCTGGTTGTTTAAAGACCATAATTTTCAACTTGAATTGTTACAGAACATAGTTTCCGTATTGTGTCTTTGTTCTTGTAATCTTAATTTCCATCTCTATTTATTGCTTTATTTTCTATGTAGGTCCCCAAACTCGTAGTCATTGACCTATTTTATTCTTTATTTTTTAAATTTCAACGAGGGAGTGAGCCTGGAGCAGTGGTAAAGCTTCTCCTTTTGAAAGGTCACCTGTTTGAATTCGGGAAACAATATCTTTGCAAATACGGCTAGTCGGGGTTTAATGGGGAGTGGTTTTTATATTTTAAATTTTAACATAACAAATAACAATTGCTTGAACCTAACCATAGCAGTAGCACTTTTGCTGTTGTTTTCATTTATCTTGTTAACAAAGGTAGCATGCACATTAAAATATGATTGGAAGAACCTACTAAAACTCTCAAATATAAGTACAGATAACCTATATTCTTTACATGGTGATAATCATCAGCCTAATTCCTGATATACATGGTCTATAATTACTCTGAAGTACCGCCATTTCTTTTCAGCTGTTTGAGATGGGTTTAGAGCTTTCACTTGCACGTCTGAAAGCGCTTGCAAAATATGCCTTTGGGATGGGATTGGCTCAGGTATGATGCTTTGGGAGTAATAATGGGCATAGTAAGAAAATTTCTTCAGCCATTTCATTCAAGTCGCTCATTGTTTAGCCTCATCTTTGTTAAAGATTACAACTGAACGTAGATGATGCCTTTTGCTATTGATTTATCATATATATATATTTTTTATCACTCTTTATAATTGTTCTACAACTTGTAAGGAAAGTTCTAATTCCTTCTTTAACATCTATAAAATTACATCTTGGCATTTCTTGTCCTTATTTAAACTTTCATTTAAAAACTTTTGAAGGTTGTACTATCTACTTTAGCATTTACTGCTTTTGAACTTCCACCAAATGGGGCCATTGGAACACAAATTTTACAATTCCTTTTCCACTCAAGGTCAGATCTGGTGAGGTTTCTATATCTAACAATTTATCTCTGTTTCATGTTTGTACTTCTTCATTATTATAAATTACGGTCATTCTTTGGAAAGACAAACAAAATGCATACACAGAAACTTTCAATTAAGAAATTTAATGGATTTTGTATTGGTGTAAACAAGTTTAGAGTGTTAGAGAAGTCTAATATAAAACCATTAAAGTGACCCTTGCTTAACAACTTGAGCTTTTAGGTGTGATGATTATTTATGAAGGGGATGGGAGGTCATGGATTAATATTTCTTTTAGTATTTCTGTGATGTACCCCACCTGGTGGGATAAGATTTTGTTTGTTGTTTTTCTTGTTATCTGTTAGTGATGTAGCTGATTTGATGGTTTTGCAAAACACAAGTCTCCTTGACCATATGCCAATTTACTTCATTAATCTGGTTTAGCTCTCTCTTAAAAGAAACATTGCCTTTAAATGCCTCATGACGTGTTTGTCAGTTTATATATCATGGAAGTAAGACAATAATGCTACTAGATGCTTAATTTCTTTTGATATTAGGCTAACAACATTTATACCATAAATTCATATGAAAAATGAAATAAAGTGAATAATATTCTTTCAAACTACTATTCCTAATAAGGCTAGTAACTCCTGAATCCTTTAAGCTTCTTTGGATGAAGAGAGTTTTGTAATTTAATGTAGGTCAATGATCTGCCATGATTGTATTGATATATAAAAGGAAATAAATTGGGTGGTTTACATTGTGAGCTTCACTTTTGGGGTTTCCGTGTAAGTTCTGGTGCGTAATTGATACCCTTTCAGAATTCAGATGAAAAAGAAAAAGGGAAAAAAATATTATTTCTTTATAGTCACTTCAATCCGAGGGCGAATATTAGAGCGGCGGTAAGGTTGTTCCTTGTGACCGGAAGATCATGGGTTCGAGTATGGGAAATAGCCTTTGTGCAAAAATGTAAGGATAAGGTTGTGTTCAATCGACCCTCACCCCAACCTTCACAACTCGAGAGTCTTGTACACCGGGATTTGCCTTTTTTCTCTTTATAGTCGCTTCAATCCAAAAGAATTTGTTAAATCCTAGCAAAAAGTTTGTAATTCCAAATCAAACAAGTTCTACTTGACAATTGAAGTTGCTATGTTATGCCCTTTTTCTCTTTTGATCCATTTGTTTCATGGCTCCTAGCCACTACATATTAGGAAAATTAATCATTCTAATTCAAAAGCTACGATTGGTAAAAAGATATTGCTAGTGTATAAGAGCATTGAATATATTATTTTGTTGCACATTAATTACTGATCTAGTGAAGATTCTAATTCTCAATTTGGTAGTCAATATCCATTGAATGCTGGCTTTTAAATAAGATTCAAAAGCATTTGTGCTCTGTCTAGAAGAGTGGAGCATTCTGGTGTACACGTATTTTGAACGATGGAACTAGAGCTATTAATATTGGTTATCCATTGAAGCTTCATATGTGCTTATAGGCTTTGAATTTTTTATAGTGAAGCTTCTAAATTTTGTTTGAGTCAGAGAAATTATTCATGGACCCTTGCCTAAAACTTGAGCCTTTAGGCCAAGTGGTTCCCACTCCCTAGACATTTTTAAGGTCCTAGTTGACAGGATGGTAGATAATCCCTTCTGCCCTAAGTCAATAATTGAAACCCCACTTTCTACATGCTTGATCCATGTAGCTGACTCCACCTAGTAGGACATGGAGTTCAATCCTTACTGTTTCTATTCTTCTATAACTAAATTATAGTTTCAGCTCAAAGTTAAGTGGACTCATGCTTTGTCTACGCCTAAAGGGCTTTTGCATGTGTAAGCAGCTTAGATTTAAAAACCATTTGCGGACCTACACCAAACAGCTTAATCTTTTATGATGTTTAGTTGTTAACAAAGATAATTTATTATAGCTTGATATGGAAAGGTTTAGTATGAAGACAACTAGAAGAGGCTTCAATTTTTAATCTTTAATTTATTTTGAGAACATATTCATAGGTGAACATCAGAAGTGTCGATGAAGCTGTAGTGATCGGTGCTGCTCTCTCTCTGTCATCTTCTGCCTTTGTTCTACAGGTATTTGTAAAGCAAGGCTAATTCTGTCACATTGTTTGTACAAATTACATGATATTGATGTATCCATAGTACTTTGTGCTGTATCTATGGTAGTTGTACTTATATTTCACCTTTTGTTTTTGACTTATGACAACATTTTTTTACTATAGTGCTTTTATTTTTCAAATTTCCAATAAATAGGAACAATCATTTTTTTTAAAGTTGGATCAAAAGCAAAATAAATATGCCTGTGACTAATAGAAATAAATGTGTTACATGACTATTGACAGATCCGAGGAAAAGCTAGAGGGTTAATTTCTTTAGATTAATACTAACAAATTCATCCATGCTTTTATAAAATATTTATACCGGTATTCACATTCGAACATTGCATTTAAATTTTGGAGAAATGTATCAGTGGAAAAGCACGAGCTTGTGGTCGTCATATTTCATAATTAATTATTGAAAGATGTAAAACAAAAGTTTTTTTAAAAATTGATACATTTGATATACACTGATAGGAGTATTTATATAAGAGTAAATAAGAAAAAATGGATAAGAATGACTCAGCAACGAGTCATCAGCCCTATTCTATAGAAGCAAATTCAAAATTCAAATTCCTATTAAAGGAAAAAATCAATCACTAATTAATAGGAAACAAAAGTGGAAAGATTCTAATCCTGATTTTCTACACTCCCCCTCAAGTTGGGAGGTAAATGTTGATCATTCCCAACTTGCCATAAGGTCTTCAAAGGGTAGCCGGTGTAGGCTTTTAGTGAGGATATCTGCAGTCTGCTCTTTGGTAGGAATATACATTATACACACACTTCTATCTATTAGAGAATAATATTAATCATTAGAAAGTCCCTCACCCAACAGTTTTAAGGTTTTGGGTTGAAGTGGTTCCTTACATGGTATCAAAGCTTCAATGACCACAAGGTCACAAGTTCGATAATCACCGCTCCCACTTTCTAGTGGAATTAAAATAAGCACAAGGTAAACAAAAATTGGGCCTGTGTAATAATTGAATCTGAATATTATTGTATATTCAAGTGTGTATAACTGTACAAGAAGGCTCTCTATTTATAGAGACTAAAAGACCTAATGGGAAGACCTAATGGGCCAAGCCCACAATCTAGACTAATCTAATAATAATAGATTAATATTATTTCTAACACTCCCCCTCAAGCTGGTGCGTATATATCAAAAGCTCCCAGCTTGTTACAAATATGATCTATTCGGGGACCTCTAAGAGCTTTAGTGAATACATCCGCGAGTTGATCATTGGAATTGACAAATGCTGTCTCGATCTCCCCTGACTGGATCTTTTCTCTAACAAAATGACAGTCAATTTCTATATGCTTGGTCCTCTCATGAAAGACTGGGTTAGAGGATATATGCAAAGCGGCTTGATTGTCACAAATGAGCTTCATAGGCCGTTGTTCACAGAGATGGAGTTCCTTAAGCAATTGTCTCAGCCAGATGAGCTCACAGGTTGCATTTGCCATTGCCCGATATTCTGCCTCCGCACTGGATCTGGCGACCACAGTTTGCTTCTTACTCTTCCAAGAGATCAAATTTCCTCCGAAGAGAACACAATACCCTGAGGTGGATCATCTATCTGAAGGAGAACCTGCCCAGTCAGCATCTGAATAACTAGAGATCTCTGAACTCCCTTTATTTGTGTATAATAAACCTCTTCCTGGCGCCTTTTTAATATATCGGAGAATTCTAATAACTGCATCCCAATGGGAGTCACAGGGAGAATCAAGAAATTGACTTGCAACACTCACTGCGAAGGAGATATCTGGCCTTGTCACAGTAAGATAATTCAATTTTCCAACTAGTCGGCGGTAGCGACTAGGATCTGGCAGTGGCTCCCCCTGTCCTGGTAATAACTTAACATTGGGGTCCATAGGTGTATCAATGGGTTTACATCCTAACATGCCAGTCTCATCTAGGATATGCAGTGCATACTTCCTTTGACAGATGGAAATGCCCCGCCTAGACTGTGCGACTTCGATCCCCAAGAAATATCGAAGTCTGCCAAGATCTTTGGTCTGAAATTGATTGAATAAATGCTCTTTCAACTGATCAATCCCGGTCTGATCGCTGCCTGTAATGATAATGTCATCAACATAGACCAGGAGATAAACGCACTGGCCAGAAGAGCTATGCCAGTAAAAGACAGAATGATCGGCTTTGCTTCTGATTATGCCAAAGGATTCAACAACTAAACTAAAGCGGCTAAACCAGGCCTGAGGAGATTGCTTCAGGCCATATAAAGATTTCCGAAGTTTACATACCATTCCAGAACTCTCCCCCCTGAGCAACAAAACCTGGTGGTTGCTCCATATAAACTTCCTCTTGCAAGTCACCATGTAGAAAAACATTCTTAATATCAAGTTGGAGAAGGGGCCAGTGATGAATGGCGGCAAGAGCAAGAAACAGGCGAACAGAAGCCATCTTAGCAACAGGAGAAAAGGTATCCCCATAATCAAGACCAAAGATCTGTGTGTATCCCTTGGCCACTAAGCGAGCTTTAAGGCGATCAACAGTGCCATCAGGACCAACTTTAACTGTGAACACCCATCGACAACCAACAACAGACTTGCCGGGAGGAGCACGAACAAGACCCCAAGTGCCATTAGAGTGAAGTGCCTGCATTTCATCAAGCATCGCCTGGCGCCACCCTGGATGAGATAGTGCTTCACCTGTGGTTTTAGGGATGGAAACAGAAGAGAGACTAGAAACAAAGGTAAAATGTTGTGAAGAAAGTCTGTCATAACTCAAGAAAGAATAAAAGGGATGAGGATTTCGAGTGGATCGAATACCTTTCCGAAGGACAATGGGAGGAGTCTCTGATGAAGGATCCGGAGGAGAAGAGCCGACGGGAAAGGGCGATGAGTCATCAAGAGGCAAAGTCGGAGGAGGTGCAGGCTGACGACGCTGGTATGTGAGGAGAGGACGATATGCAGGTATGGAGGTAATGGGTTGCTCCTCTGGAATAGGGTCACCTGCAGCTGGTAAAGACAAGTCAAGAAAAGGAACAGGAAGGACCTGATCAACCTGTGACACTGGAGACGGAGTAGAGTGAAAAGGCTGCTGATCAAGGAAAGTGACATCAGCAGAAACGATATAACGCTTGAGATCAGGAGAATAGCAACGATACCCTTTTTGAAAACGTGTATACCCAAGGAAAATACATTTGAAGGCCTTGGATGTCAACTTGTCTTTACCTGGAGTAAGATCATGAACAAAACAAGTACAGCCAAAAATATGTAAAGGCAGAGGATAAGAAGGTGCTTCGGAAAACAAAATACTGTGGGGAACATCATTATTTAGCACAGAAGAGGGCATGCGGTTGATAAGGAAACATGAGGTGATAATAGCATCTGCACAAAAACGGAGTGGGACGTTCATATGAATGAGAAGGGTACGTGCAGTTTCAACTAGATGTCTATTTTTACGTTCAGCGACTCCATTTTGTTGTGGAGTGTGGGGACAGGTAGTCTGGTGTATCGTCTCATGTGTATCCAGAAATTTAGAAAATTCAAGAGACACATACTCTTTTGCATTATCACTGCGCAAGATTTGAATAGAGGCACCAAATTGAGTTTTTATTTCTGCACAAAACTTTTGATAAATTGAAAATAACTCAGAACGATTTTTCATTAAATAAACCCAAGTGCAACGGGAGAAATCATCAATAAAGGTTACAAAATACTGAAAACCCAAAACTGACATAGTCGGACTCGGACCCCAAATATCAGAATGAACAATAGAAAAGGGAGCAGCAGCTCTCTTATTGACTCTACTAGCAAAGGAAGAGCGAGTATGTTTTCCCTGCTGACAAGACTGACAATTCAAAGACTTAAGACCTGACAAAAAAGGAACCATATGCTGAAGCTTCGAGAGACTTGGATGACCCAGACGGCTATGGTGGCGCGTGCTGAGGCCGTTTGGGACGGGTCTTGGACAGAAACGGTCGCCGGCGTGAGGGGATCCTGATCGCGTGGTTTCTCGCCGAAAAGGTGGCCGGAACAGTGATGAACAGTGACGGAACAGTGTTTCTGGCGATGTGAACAGTGTTTTCCGGTCAAATAATGAAGGAGGATGACGATCTGAGATCGAAAAAGGGTCTAACAATGTTCGGAGGGTTGAAAAAGTTTGCCGGTATGATGCACGACGGTAAAAGGGTTTGCTGGTATGATGCACGGCAGTAAATAAGAAAGGAAAAGATATATATGCGGAAGCAGAGCCCTCGGATCGAGAGCTCTGATACCAAATTGAATCTGAATATTATTGTATATTCAAGTGTGTATAACTGTACAAGAAGACTCTCTATTTACAGAGACTAAAAGACCTAATGGGAAGACCTAATGGGCCAAGCCCACAATCTAGACTAATCTAATAATAATAGATTAATATTATTTCTAACAGTAATATCCACGCTTTAAGCCCAAAGGGATCTTGCGTGAGGGGGGATGTGTTAGAGAATAATATTAATCATTAGAAAGGCCCTCACCCAACAGCTTAAGCTTATGGGTTGAATTGGTTCTTTACACTCTCTTCTAATTTTTCTTTGATAAGGTGGCGATCAACCTCCACATGTTTTGTTATGTCATGGTGAATTGGATTTTTAGCAATATTGACAGTAGTCTTATGATCATAATACACCCTAACAGGTAGGGAAAAAGAGATCTTCAATTCCTCAAGGAGTCTTCTTAACCAAATTCCTTCACAAATACCATGGGCTAGTACCCGAAATTCTGCTACTGCACTGCTCCTGGCAACAACTGTTTGTTTCTTACTTCTCCAGGTCACAAGATTTCATCAGACATAGGTGCAATATCCTGAAGTGGATCTTCAATCCAATGCAGAGCCGGTTCAATCTGCATATGTATATATTTCAATCATCCTCTTGTGTCCCCTTTTAAAGAACAATCCTCGATTAGGGTTTTTTTTTGAAGTACTTGAGAATTCTTTAAACTGCACGTAGGTGTTTTTCCTTAGGAGAATGCATGAATTGACTAACCATGCTAACTGCAAATGCAATATCAGGCCAAGTGTGAGATAAGTAGATCAACTTCCTCACTCATCTTAGGTACTGTCAACTTCTTTCGCATCTTCAATTTCCAATTTAATATTGGGTTCAATTGGAGTCTTTGTTGGCTTGCACCCAAACATTCATGTTTCTTGTAACGGTCTAGAATATATTTCTTTTGTGTTAAGGAAATCCCTGCCTTACTTCGAGCAATCTCCATGCCCAGGAAATATTTGAGAGATCCAAGATCCTTCAGTTCAAACTGATCAGCTAAACTCTTCTTCAAAGAGTTTATCTCCTCACAATTATTACCTGTGACAATTATATCATCAACATAAACAATGAGAATAGTAATTTTACCACCAATAGTGTTTTAAAAATAAAGTGTGATCAGTCTGAGCTTGGAGGAATCCTCTTTCATTAACAGCTTGAGTAAACTTCTCAAACCACTCTCTAGGGGATTGTTTAAGACCATAGAGAGACTTCTTCAACTTGCATACTAGGTGGTGGATCCATATAAACTTCTTCATGTAGATCACCATTCAAGAAGGCATTCTTTACATCTAATTGTTGCTAGGGCCAATCAAGATTGGCAGCGAATGATAGAAGAATTCAGATAGTGTTAAATTTGGCAACAGGGGCAAATGTCTCTTGATAGTCTGTCCTATGAGTTTGAGTAAATCTCTTAGCAACCAAATCTGGCCTTATACTTGTTGATGTTGTTATCTGTATCAAACTTTACTGTGAACACCCACTTGCAACCTAATATTTTATTTCATCTGGGTAATGCTACAGACTCCCAAATTCCATTTCTGTTGAGTGCATCCGTTTTTTCAAAGACTATCTTTATCTATTTTGGATCGGCAAGTGCTTCTTGGATTTTTTTTGGTATTTTTGTACTGTCTAACATAGTGTTGAAAGCACGAAAACCTACAGATAACTTTTCATACGTGATATGATGAGAAATAGGATAAGCAGTACAAGATCTAGTATCTTTTCGGAGAGCAATAGGCACATCTAGGTCAGCTGTATCAGTGTTGCTGGAACTAAGGCTCAAGTCAGAATCCTGCCAATCTAGAGGCTCCTGAGGTGATTCTCGTTTGCTGTAAAACTTTTCCCATTTATCGGGAGGATCTCCATTCTCTGGCATAATAGCTCCCCCTGTCTTTTGCACAAAGACTACCCCTGTCTCCAATAGCAAAGGTAAAACAACAGAATTATTTGGTTTCCAAGACTTATCTTCATCTACCCCAATAGAGACCCCTTGAAAAGTAGTCGAAGGAAAAAAGGATTCTCTCTCATCAAATATGATATCCATAGAAACAAAGACCTTACGAAGAGAAGGTGAGTAACACTTGTAGCCTTTTGGTGTTAGGAGGATATCCTATGAAGACACATTTAATAGACTTAGGATCGAGCTTGGACCTTGGATGAGGAGGAATATGTACAAAAGCGATACAGCCAAACAACTTAGGAGGAAGAGAAGAATGAGCCCGGAAAGAATGAAAGGTGTGGGTAAGATGAGATAAAGAAGATTGAAAATTTAGGACACGAGAAGGCATCTGATTGATGAGGTATGCTGTAGTCAAGACAGCTTCTCTCCACAGATATTTAGGACATGCATGGTAAACACAAGAGCTCGAGCATCTGACGGTGGTGACCGTTTGGGTTCTGCTCAGAATTTGATTTTGCGGTGACTGGTGCCCTCACTTTGGTGATTAGGCCTTCGCAGATGAAGATTCCGGCATGAAAAGTGACTTTGGTCGTGAACAATAACTCCCACGCGAACAGTACTCCGGGCGTGAACAATACTCTAGTCGTGAACAGTGTGCATTTGGCTGTGACAGAACTGAAAAAAAATCTAAAAGGCTTTTGAATTTTAAAGTTGACCTAGGGTTTTTTAGGAAGTGGTGGAATAGTGTTTTATGATACGGGAACAATATTCCTAGCCTTGAGGATGACTGATCTAGGGGAGCAATGAATCCGCTCTGATACCATATTGAAAGATATAAAACAAAGGTTTTTCTAAAAATTGATACATTTAATTTACACTGATAAGGTTATTTATACAAGAGTAAATGAGGAAAAAAAATGGATAAGAATGATCAGCAATAAGTCATCAGCCCTATCTTATAGAAGCATATTCAAAATTCAAATTCCTATTAAAGGAAAAAATCAATCACTAATTAATAGGAAATAAAAAGAGGAAAGATTTTAATCCTGATTTTCTACATTAATACAACTAAAAAATATAGCTAAGTTTGATAGCTGGAATTCTTTGCATCCTTCCTTCCCACCTTTACATTCCATTCTGGATCTTATTGATCATTTTGGAGATAATACTGATTTAGTAGTACTAGTTAATGATTATGTCATTTTTCTCCTCTAGCCCTGCCACATCATGTTGATCCTTTTGCATCTAGTAAGCCAGTCTCTTGATTTGTAAACTTTTCTTTCCAGCCCTGTTCTTTTATCCGCTATTGCTTTTTCTTGTGTACTTTATTAATTGAAAGAAATTACATTAAAAATAATGACTAAGTCTGTTTTGTATTAGTGGTTTTAGACTTTTAGGTATTTCCAATGCATGAAAACATTGTAATATGTGAACTTAAAATGGATAATGTAGCTTATCATGCATGTATATTTAGCTTCTTGCAGAGAAAGGTGAGCTTCCTACAAGATTTGGTTCGGCAACTCTTGGAATACTTCTTTTGCAGGTTTTTGTCTTACACTCTTGCTTGGTTACACTGTCTTCATCCTCCAAGTATGTAGTTTTTTATCACAAAAAAAATGTGGTTGTTAGAAATCATTCCATTTATTTTAGTTTACCTGTTGATATCTTCTGATAGGCGTTAGTAGATTGATAAATGTCAGTAAAGAAAGGCTTTCATATAATTAACTTTTTTCCTTTTCTGCTTGTTATCTCCAGGACTTAGCTGTTGTTCCTCTTTTAGTCATTCTTCCAATACTAGAGAGCCAGGTGAGATGTAAACTATAAACAGTATCTAACATTTATCTATCTCTTTCTATTTTTAACATACTGCCTTTCTGGTTGCTTCGTTGTAAAATGGAGTTAACAGTTTTAGGTTTAGTAGAGCTCTTTATCATGGTTAACATTGTCTAGGCATCAGCTATTGTGTTTGTAAAAAACCTTGGGATACACCACCCCAAAAGCTAGCTCAAAGGGTGGGAATGCCCAAGGCCTTATAAACTCCACATTAGTTGCACATACAACCAATGTGGGACTATATATCTCAACACGCCCCCTCACACGAGAGCCCTTTGGACTTAAAGCGTGGATAATGCAACAGGCCCAGCCTACCTGTGCTAAGAAACTCCACAAGAGAAAGTGGGGGGCGGCGAGGCTCTGATACCATGTAAAGAACCTTGGGATACACCACTCCAAAAGCTAGCTCAAAGGGTAGGAGTGCCCAAGGCCTTATAAACTCCACATTAGTTGCACATACAACCAATATGGGACTATATATCTCAGCAGTGTTGCCCACCTACCACTTTTACATACATGCAAAAATACGTTTATTGTTTGATGATGATATTTATACTATTTGTAATTGTCAAACTTAGACTATGTATCAGGATATGAGCCTTTCAAAATGGGCTGAGTATAAAGGCTGAGCCTGTGTGTATAGAACTTGTAATTACTGCCAGTTGTCACTTTGTATGTTAAAAGTTGTAGCAGGGACTGATTAGTACCAGTTTTGTGAAGACTGGAGTCACTTACTTGTAATCGAGTTGACTATATTTTAACCAACTGGCTTCGATTAACATCTATGGTCTAGCTTAAAGAGGAGTGACAGAATATGTATTAGTATATTAGCCTATCTATTTAAGCTATGATTAATATATGGGTTGGTCTAATATGTACAACACTTGTAACAAATTTGTACTAATCTTAATCTGAAAATATAATACAGTAGTTAGAAGCCTAATAAAGTCAGCGTCTCTTTTCTTCAAAACTCACTCTCTATATGTGTCTGTTTATGGTATTAATACAAGGTCCTATATGGTAGCAGTTGGTGCATTGCTAGATGTAAAACTATTAATGAGTCTACGCCTAACAGCTTAAGCTAACTTGGTCCTTTATATGGTATATGAGGCTCTATGATCAAGTGATCTTATTCTTGACATGTATAAAGGATGAGAAACTTTCATACCAAATAAATATAAAATCAATGTCAAACTCTTAGCTTGCAAAATCTTGGAAAGTTGTGTTGTCAAAGTATAGAACCCTTCACTTCCCTGATAAACTTTGTATGTAGATTTTGTCTTCATAACTATCTAGCAAAAGTTTCTTTGTATATATGTTTGCATGTATGTGGGTGTGTGCACACACAATACAGCAATGTGCTAGTTCTGTTCTTTTTCATTTCCTACACTTAAATGATAATTTCGTCTTACTTTTATTATCAAAAGGTATAACTTTTTGAGGCCATCTGACTCCACCAACTGTTATTGAGGCCATCTCGACTATTATATATCCTCCAATAAAGTAAATGGGTTATTTTGCTCATCGGATGCATCTAGTTATGTATTGATAGTTCACCCTGTGCTTTTTTATTTCTCATTCTAGAATATGTCTGAGGAAAGTGTTTTGCCCATGCTTGCTCAAGAAAGTTTGAAGGCATTAGGTGGATTGGGTCTGCTTTCTCTTGGGGCAAAGTACATTCTCAGAAGAGTTTTCGAGGTCTGTATGGAATATACTTAACAAGGGCATTTTATCCAAAAGTTAAAATATGTCAAAACTCATTTTTGATATGTTCCAATCAGTAAACTGTTGGCCAAATTCAGGTTGTTGCAGATACAAGGAGCTCAGAGGCTTTTGTTGCTCTTTGCTTGCTGACTGTTGCCGGGACTTCACTAGTCACACAGAATTTGGGCTTTAGTGATACGGTTTACTATTTTCCAAAGCATAGGGTTTTAATTTTGGGTTGGTTATGGGATAATGGAGAATCATTAGTTTGAATATCTGCATGACAATTGTATGCAATGTCATAATGCAGCTTGGAGCATTTTTAGCTGGAGCAATCTTAGCAGAGACAAATTTCAGGACCCAGATTGAAGCTGACATAAGACCGTTTAGAGGCTTACTGCTTGGGTTATTTTTTCTAAGTACAGGAACTTCAATTGATATGCAGGTAATATGATTATCATTTGTGCTACATGTGACATGTTATTTCGTTTTTCTAAGAAACATTATTTGTTAATTGGAATGTTGTGTCTGTGCATCAATGCAACTTTAACTGCGAGATTCATCAAACTAGATATTATAATGGCCCAAGACTTTATCACCTGGGATAAAACATTCTAGTAAATCACAACATACTGAAGGTGTACTTTGGATAAATGCAAATACCCAAGTAATTGCCTAGTGTTTTTTAAGTCAGGATACACACACACTCACTCAACCTTTTTATGTTATTCTATTAAAAAATCATTGGTTGAATGACATCCAAGTGATTTATCTGTTTTCATACGACTGGATCTGTGAATTTATGATTTTTAATGAATAGTGATTTTGTTAGATCCATGCATTAAGAAACGTATATCCTTAAGAACTTACTTTTTGCATGAAATTATGCAATGTACCTATCCTCCCCTATGAAACTACATACAGATAAGCATGTTTTTCTCTCTATATTGAATATTATTTTTTTGTTGCAGCTCCTTTTGCGAGAGTGGCCAAATGTACTTTCACTCTTGGGAGGTTTAATTGCTATCAAGACATTGATCATTACTGCAATTGGTCCTCGTGTTGGGCTTACTTTACAAGAGAGTGTAAGAATAGGATTGCTTCTATCCCAAGGAGGCGAGTTTGGATTTGTAGTTTTCTCCTTAGCAAATAGGTAAGCAATTATTTAACCTAATGCATTGATGCAATCTGAGTGAGAATATTGGGTTTGTTTTTAATAAAAAAAATTTGTGGCTTCTTGTAATCAGGCTTGGGGTGCTTCCGCTTGAGCTCAACAAGCTGCTCATAATTGTTGTTGTATTGTCAATGTCATTAACCCCCTTTCTAAATGAAGCTGGAAGAAGGGCTGCTAGTTATATTGAAGACAAATATGATGCTGAGAATGTATGCCTTTATTGTAAGATGTATAATTTTGGAAGTTATGAGCACACACACATGTCCTTGTATATAAGGATTTTGATTAGCCATGACGGATTACAGGTGTATTTGAAATAAAATGTCTTACATAAGAAATGAAACTAAAGAATACAAGAAAATTCACATGCTGTATAATTAGTAGGTCTTTTGGGGCAAATTTCATTCTCTCTGGATTTTATGCATCAACTTATCTTTGTTTTAGTAACTTAAAAAAGATGCTTTAGAAGAAACTACGGGATATAAAGAACAAAATTTAACTGTTTCCTGAAGATATATACCTGGCAATGTTATGCTAAGTGATTTCATTTAACTGCAAGTTTACATTGGCTGACTAATTTATGTGCAGAAACAGAAACCAGCTGAGATGTTGAACTTCAATGCTAGTGAACCTGTTGTTATTCTTGGATTTGGACAGATGGGCCAGGTAGATCAATCAATGCATTGTAAAACCTGTGATTTTATCTTGCCCGTTTCTAAAATTATTTCCTTTGGCTCCTTTTATAAAGGTCCTTGCCAATTTCCTATCAAATCCATTGGCTTCAGGAGGAGATAGTGACGCAGTAGGATGGCCTTATGTGGCATTTGATCTTGACCCCACAGTAGTAAAGGTCAGTGTTTCTGAACACTTGGATGGCTATTGTCTACTATTACGTGCTTAGGACTTTTTCTTTTCCTTTTGTAAGTTGTTTGAAATTCTTGAGTAGAAATCTGCTGTTTAGAATGTCTCCAATTTGGTATTGAGGAATCTCTTTTATCCAACATTCATCTAGTTTATTCTCCCATCATTAACTGCTGAGCAGGCAGCTAGAAAACTTGGTTTTCCTATTCTCTACGGGGATGGATCACGTCCGACTGTTCTTCAATCTGCCGGTATCTATTCTCCGAAAGCTATCATGGTTATGTACAGTGGGAAAAAGAAGATTATGGAAGCTGTTCAAAGGTTGCGGTTGACTTTTCCTGCAGTAATAATCTCTTCCCTTCTTATCTCAATTTCTTATATCAATTTGTTATGCGTGAGAGTATTTATATGCACAATAAGGAGAAAGTAATGGGCTTTTGGAATGAAAAGAAACTATGATAGTATGATGAGACTAGCTTTATAACTATTTGATTTTTTTTTACCATTCTGTATCTCTTTTCTCATTTCTCTTGGTTTAATTGCTTACTTTATGATGAAATTCCTCAGATCCCAATCTATGCCAAAGCTAAAGATCTCAAGCATCTTTTAGATTTGAAGAAAGCAGGGGCAACGGATGCCATTTTGGAAAATGCAGAGGTATTGTCAATAATATGTTTCCCTCCCCTGATGGTTGGAGCTTGTAACACTATCAATCATTGCTTAGTATTTCAGGGGAGACTGCAGCTAAATATTTAAGTTTATTCTTGCAGACGAGCTTACAGCTTGGTTCTAAGCTGCTGACAGGCCTTGGTGTGATGTCTGATGATGTAGCATTTTTGAGTCAGCTTATTAGAGATTCCATGGAACTACAAGCTGAAGAAGCAATCAGCCACTCCGAAGAACGTGAATTAGATATTATGAAACCACTGCAGGTACTTCAAAACGATGTTTTGGCTCGGGTTAATGCTGAAATATGGTTTTGAGTGTGTGTGCGTGTATGTGTCAGCTGACAGGTGGATGATTTGTTTGAACTTAATAGAATATCTATTTGATTCTACATAAATTCTGCATATTATACATCTTGGAGTAGTACATAAATTTCATTTACCTCCATATTTTCTGCATTGGCTTATTGATGAATTTTCAAGGAAATTAAACTTTTCCTTTGAGAACTAGATTTCAAGATAACTTTCTCATGTCATGCTTCATTTCTCCATTTTTTAGATTTGCTCTTTATAATTTTTGTGGTTGGTATTGCCATAATAACTTATATAGGAAGAAACTGATCTGTGAACATTGTAAGGTGAGAGCTGATGACTTGATGGAGGCAAGTGTACCGATGGCAACAACTTCACCAGAATATGAATCATCAGAACTGAACCAGAAAGAAGATCAAGCTTCGTTGAGTAGAATTCAGAAGGAAGTAGATGCTGAAGAACAAGATTATGAAATAAATCAAGCTGCGAATTTAGAAGGAAATGGTATTTTATGTAGTAAACAAGGTACTGAAGAAAGCTCAAGGGTTGGATCTCAAGATGCTATTGAACAGAATAATATGGCAGACACATCAATCCCTTATAATACTGCCATGGAGGAACCCTGACAATGATATAGGGCTTCTTCCCATTAGTTTTGAAGTTATTAATTCAAATAATCTCAAAGTATTGAACTTATTATTGCACTAACCTGTAACTTCTGAAAGATTTCAGCAAGTTGTCATTTTTTTTCAGAGCTAACGATATATGTATAGGAAACATCTCAATTCAAGAGAGAGTTTGTAGAACAGCATCATTCCAACTGAGATACTCATTTGAATTCTTTGGAAATCACAAAATGCATAGTAATTAAACCTATGTATGTATAATTGTAATTTTTATTTCTTGCTCTAGCATGCAAACATTTTAATATGTTGTCAACCTATTGAGTTTAGAATGTAGTAACACATAATTATAGAATAAATTTTTTTCCGTTAATGTTGTCAATGCTTCGAAATTAAATTCATGTTACAATCACTATTGAAGTATAATTATCAACCTATTTGGACAGCAAATATTCATGCTTGTGTGTCATGTGTGAAGCTTTTGATTAAATTAATTCATTGTCTTTGGTATTGCGCAAAAGAAAGGTTTTTTTTTACAAATTATACAAACTATGACGGTCATACTTCAATCAAGAGTGTATGACCGATCATATTTAGTGTAATTTGTAAAAAAAAAAAAAAATTGTTTAACCAGGACCACATTAAAAACAAAAAAATGAGTATTATGTACCAAGATAAAAAATATGTTTTAACTGCATGGAAAATATCCTAGTTTTGAATTATTATTTTTTTAATTGTATTGGAGATGTTTAGCTTATAATGTAACAATTTGAGTACCTTTTCCTTGAACATGCCTTCTGATCCATTTAGGACTAGCCAGTTTATTGTTGGTTTAGATAAATACCTGGATGCAATCAAACAGTTATTCAATTCATGCGTTTCACCGTGAGATTTAGAGTCTGTTTGGTGTGACGTATAAGGTCTGATAGTATAAGCTTATACTATACGTTATGACATTTTCGGTTGTTTTGTGTGACCATCGTATAGTATAAGCTTATACAGCAGAATTCCTTAATACATCAAAATTAGAGCTGGCAAAGTGGGCCGCCCTCCCGCCCCGCCCCGTTTGGCGGGTTGGCCCGCCAGCCTGAACCTATTTTACACTGACCCACCTCGGCCCAACAATACCCGCCATCAACCCGCCAAAAAATGAGCCCGCCTCGCCCCGCCCCGCTTTTGAGATAGGTTGAAAAACTCTGCACGCCCCGCTCCGTTTGGCGGGTTGAGCGGATTGGCCCGCCGAGCCGAGCCCGTTTTGCCGGCTCTAATCAAAACGATGTATAACTTAATCTGGCATAAGGGAGAGGGATTAGGCATAGGCGAACCCAGGGGTGGGGCTAGGGTTGGCCACCGCCCCTCCCTGTTTATTAGAATTTTGTTTACTATATATATATAATTTTGGGCTGAAAAAAATTAATTTTAGACTAAAAAAAATTAATTAATTGGGCTGAAAATTTCAAAAAAAAAAACTTAAACAAACACAACTTTAGAAATTGAAATTTTTTCCAAAGGAAGGAGCAAACTTTTAGGGCTCAAGAAAAAATTTCAAAATTAGACACACTTGATTATCAAGAGGTTGGCGAAAATCATTGTCAAAGAAGACAACAACAAAACAGACAAACAAGGGTTCCAATTTTTTGAGCTAAATATTGAGGAAGGAAAAGAGTCTGCATCCATTGTTGAATGGAAGATAATCAAGACCAGACTTCAAAATTGAATGGAAAACTAATTTCTTGATGTTTCTTTGATTACATATGTTGAAAAAGAAATTGTTTTGAATTTTAGCACAAATTCAATTATAGAAGAGTTTAATAATACGAAAAAACGTAGAGTAAGAGCTAAGTGAATTGACCTTAAATTTTGTAATAAAATTCTTTCAAACTTTTTATATTAAGTTCATATATGATTGGATGTACTTTTTTTAATAATATATAAAAAAAAAAAATCGCCCCCCACTATAAAAATTTCTGGGTCCACCACTGGGATTAGGCCTAATAAGGGATTAGTGTATTAACATCGTTGACTAGTGCAATTCTCAAAAATTAATATACTATTTTAATATTAATATATTAAAATAAAAATTAATTTTTCAATATATTAAATTTTAAAATATTGAATATTTTTATTTTTATAAAAATTAATTTATTTTTTGGACACACTGATCAATAGATTTTTATAAAAATTAATATCATATGATATTTTTTGAAGAATTATATAAAATCTTTATTAAAAGATATTATTATTAAAAATATTTATTTTTGTCCTATATAGTTTTTTACAGTGCATTACCAAATATTAGATGATAGTATCTTATATAATATATTATTTTATACAATACCATACTAAATGCTGGATAGTATTAAAATTCAATCTGATCTTATCTTATGCTATGCACCAAATATGCCCTCAGGGAGAGATTTCACCCGAGAAAAGTATATCCTTATATGTAGTTTATTGGGATGAGATCTGCAAGTTGGTATTTTATTACTGTGTGATTATTGTTGGGGTTGGGCATGTGTCTCCAAGATGGTACAATTATCAGTGGCAGTCAGCCAGTCATCGAGTTTATTGAATACTCCCCGTTTGAGCATTTATGATTTTTTTCTAATAAGATTCAATGGGTTGAACCGACAATAATTCCAAGATAATGAATTCCAAGATTGTGAGTTCCAAGATAGCGTCTCTCCTCGGCAGATAGAGCCTTTTGTACCATCTATTAATGAATTGTTGTGGCTACATTTGACATTTCGATCTCGTACACATTTCCTAGATGCATTCTCCTCTTGCTTTCTTTTTCTTACGCCTTCAACTTTTTCTCATATTTTCGAAAATTTACCTATTCCATGTAAATCAAAACTCCTTTCAGTACATGTCTAAACTACCGTTTTACGAATATCATGGTCATTTTCAAGTTTCCATCTCTCATTGAACAAACATCTTTCAATTTCCTCACCATTTTTTTATTTTTTTTTGGTATAAATTTCCTCACGTTTGTTTTCAAGAAGGTTGTATCCACCTCCGAGGCAGCTTTTAAAGCTTTTAATATTTCCTCACATTTTCAAGAAGGTAGTATGAACCTCACATTTTCTTTCTTTAATTTTACAAACTTTCAATCTTTGTTATTCCCATTACACCAATTCTTTACTATTCATTAAAACTTTGGTTAGATCAAAATTGACTTCTCCATTCAGAATGAAAATGAAGTATTTTGAGAAATAATTAAAAAAAATAAAAAAAAGTATAAACCACTCCCTATAAATCTTAGACTTGCTGATTCATTTTACTCAGATCGGTATTGTATATGATGTTAATTGCAAGTCACTGATGTTGTCTCTGTCGATGATTTCAGTAGTTTGTTTAGGCATATCTTATGTTGTTTAAGTTTACTGTGTTGTCTTGTCTCCACTAGATCAACGCGCAAGGCAATAGAACCAAGTTCATGGATCATCGTTGTAGGTCTCGTCACGTCAGTCAGATGGAAATCGTTGATGATATATCTCTTCGCCTTCTCTGTTATGTTTGCTGTGACGATGGCTGTTACAAATCTTCATCGACTGTGATTTTATTGATTAATGGTAAGAGTTTAGACATTCCGTTACCGTTATCTTATCTTCTAAGCTTTTTGACCCCTATGCCCCTTAATTAATAATTAATTACCAAATTGCCCCTCATTCAAAACTATTTCGAAAATTTACCCTCCCCAACAAACATAACACCAATCTGCCCATGTTTGACCGTTGACCACGAAGCCTACCCGGGTACACCATTACCTACCCGGGTAAATTTTGAAACTTTTTATCTACCCGAGTATGTAGGGGTGTACCCGGGTAGAGTTCTTGAATCTGGGAAAATGTTTGAATTATTTACCCGGGTACGGAGCAGTGTACCCGGGTAAACATCGACGGTAGGGTTTTAAAATACCCCAGCAGCCCCATTTCGAAAACCCACAAAAGGGGTACCCGAGTAGAGCTGCTGGAGGAGTGTCATCTTGAGCGATTTCAGGCATAATCTTGCACTAATTCGTCTTGTTTGTGATCATCATTCGCGGACCTTGCAACCTCTCTGCCTTCTACCGATTGAAATCGATCAAAGGTGCATTTTTTTTCAGTTTTTTCAATTATGTTATGATTTCTGTTCTGATTCATTGTATTTTCGTTTATATCATTTGATTCTGTCCGAATTATTTTATCAATTTGTATGTCATACGCTTACCCTAACCCTAACCATAACCCTGAATCTAACCCTAACCCTAACCCTAACCCTAACCCTAACATGTATCTAATTTCTGATTTTGGTTATTTTTTCAGTTTAATAGTGTGACACAATGACCTCTCGACGCGTTTCAAAGCTGCCAGTGACCCATTCCGAGAGAATAACCAAGAGTCGTCACGATGGGTCGTCATCCTCTCAGCCCCAGGCTGCTTCGAGTCAGGCTCCGGACTTGACGTTCGGATATTTGTTTGAGGATGACATTCCTTCACACGAGAAGTTCGTGAAGTTTTTCATGACCCGGAAGATCTGCGAACCGAAATCACTGGATTCGGCATTCTTCAACCTAGAGCGTTTTGACATTGTGCCGCTTCTTGAGCAGACACATTTACTTCACCTGGCGGAGATGCGGTGCCCATACTCGGAGGTTATGGTAAGAGCCTTCTACCAGAACCTTGGCTACTCGCAAGGCGAGCTGACTTCCCGTGTCTGCGGGATTGATATCATCATGACTGCTCCTATCTGGACGGAGCTACTGGGGTTCGATTTTGATGGTGTCACAGGAGCAGCACTATATGATGGAGACAGCCATCATATATTTGGTGATTATAACCGGGAGACCATTGTTACAGAGACTAGGAGGGCAGACGCTGAGCCCGGTCATTTTGCTCATTATCCTGTTAGCAACTTGTCAGTTTCTGCTCGCATTCTTCATTATGTGGTGACACATATTATTTTCCAGCGCCCGCATAATCACTCAAAGGTGCTGGAAGGGGACTTTGTCATCCTGTGGGCCCTCCTTCACAGTCAGCAGGTGAACTGGAGGCATTACATATGCATACTGATGTGGAAGGCAGCCAAGTCAAAGAAGGCTGAATTGCCTTTTGCATTTCTGGTGCAGAAGATTCTGCATAGATTTGGAGTGCCTATGGCAACAGAGACCTTGAAGACCGCCAGAGGCTGGAATGCTATATTTGGTGAGAGGCTCCTGAAGCAGTGTGGGATCCTACCGAACAGAGCGGGTATCTGGACGTGGAAGAAGGCACCA